CAAATGCTGTTTCTCCTCTTGCATATTTGTTAAGCCCGTGTACCATATGAAGCTTGTTGTTTCAACGCTATATAGTTAGGAAAAACTCTCATTTAAATCTGAATACTTCATAGTTATAGAATAGTCATGCATTTTTTTTATTTCTAGATCTTAACCTTGCAATGTTAAAGTCAATGGGAACAAGTCCGAAGAGATGTTAGTTATGATGACTTGCATAAAAATAATAGATTAATGTAATTTCGTACCATATAATTATTTAGCTAGTAATCTTCCTTACATACTTTAAAAGGGCTTCGTACATAATTGTCTTTTATATAAATAGTGAAAGTATTAAAAGATGGTAAACTTACTAAGCCCTTAGTTTTTATGATAAGGTTATAAGATGATTTTCATAAAGTGTTTTCTATTTTATATTGGTGATGGTTTATGAAGTAAATTAAAATTAATTAAAGGACAAAAGCAACTGTATGATGTAGACCAATGCTACATAGTGTCTGAAAAAAAAAAAAATCGTTTTTGGTATCAGCCTTGGAAAAAGTCATAGCTAATTCAAAAGAAAAAGAAGTGAAAACTGGTTTTGGCCTCCAGTTTACTTAAACTGCCAGTGAAAATAAGAAATCATTTATAGCTTTTAATGCCATCTGGAAATAAATTATTTAAAGTGTGTTTAGGCACGCAAATTATACTAAATCAATACAAGACATTTCTATAATTTTAAGTTGCAATATTTCATTTTCAGGAGCCTGAGAATTTGCTCTTGCTAAGCAAACTGATAAGTAAAACTAAGTGATATCTTGCTAAGTATGTCATTGTCTTTGATTAATTGTTAAATGAATACAATTGTGTTATACCACAGAAGTATGCAGACCTAAGTCAATGCTTCATTCATCAGACTAATCAGAAAAGTGATGGATCAACAAAATGAGCTTTTGTACAACCAGATGAACTAAAAGAAAATAACCTTCACGTAAAACATTAACAACCTCTTCGGTCATGCTTTTAATCTTCTTTTTGAAGTACATGAACAGCTGTAATGACGGCACGCAGAGATACTTGGATACAAATCTTGACATTCCTGGCAGCATACTAATTGCTAGTGCTAATGTTAAGTGAATTGGATTTTTTGAAAATCTAATAAAGCATAAGGGCCATAAAATATACATATATGGTGTTAGATATTTTTAAAACATCTGTATACATTTTTATTTTCCTTTATTTTTGAAATTTTGTCTTGCAATTAAATGCTTGAAACCTTCCCAGCTTCACATGGGTCATAAATATAAATTGAACTAACGTTTACTCGGCTTCATAGTAAGAAAATATAACACCTCAGTCTTCTGTGGTGCATGCTCTGGATTATTTGCAGAACCAGCATTTTAAAGGTATTATCATTTAATTTTAATTGCTTCAGGATTAGGTAGTCCTGAAGCCTAGTTGGTATAAAGAGCCCACGTGTTCCTTAAGTGTCTATAATTCTGTTGTGTGTTGTGAATGACCAACGTCCTCATGTAGAAGTGGCTGTTTTTCAAACAAGATTCTTCAAATTATTTTTTTCAAACAGTTTTTCAAACAAGATTCTTCAAATTATTTTTTTTCAAATCCAGAACCATCCTTTGCCTCGTCTCTTCTCAGGCTCTGTACATTTTGGATTGTTTTTAAAGTCTGTTGTGCACATAGCCTAACCAAGAAAAAAAATCCCCCAAAGAACCAACCCCACATGTATGTATTCTTCAAGAATCGTAACCTTAAGAGTGTGTGAATTTTTTTGAAGGTCTTGCTTTATTAAGACAACAAGAGTAAACTCAGTTGCTTGACCGTGAAAATCCCACTGAAAAATATTTTCCTGGCTGGAGTTTTTATTGCACATTCTGGCATTTTTAACTGTGAATTTTCTGTAATTGCAGCATTCAAACAGCACAGGATTCAAATTTGTCTGCGTATGTTTTCACAAAGGGAAAAACTGTTAGAAATAGTTGATGGCCAATAGGGCAACTTTTACTGATTTTTTTTATCCCAAAGTTGGCAGAGAAATAAGTATTCCTCAAAGCTAAACGTTGTTAGACCCTGTTGGTGTGTGGTCAGCTTGTTAATTCACTTATGGCAGAACGTGGTTATAAATAGGAACTTGGCAGACTAAATTGTTAATTGAGTTGAAACACAACCAGACAAACCATCTTTAAACTAAACTGATCTTTTCTTTAAAAGCAGGCAAATATTTCATAAAGAGAAAAAATGAAATGGTACTATGTTTTGATTGAAAAGGTGAACTGGAGACATGTGACAAACTGAAGGTGAACGTGACTGTTCCACGTCGGTAGTTCTCAGCCAGCTAAATAAATAAATTTCAGCACTGCTTGGTGAAAGCAGTTTCTGTAAAGTCCATCTGAAGAATGATGGGGAGCCACTGGCTGTGTCACACTTGGGGCGGATTCTTCAATACCCGTACACCCATTTCAGTCCATGTGGATGCAGAGGTATTAGGGGTGATTAGATTTGGACATCTGCTATGTTGCAAGATATCAATAATTGCTAATGTCTTCCTAGAAGGGGCTCTTACTCTGTGTGAAATGTTAGCTGCTCTACAGTACCACAGCACCAACTGTTCTGCAGTACTTGTGCCTACAGTTGGCATGAATTACTATGAGTTTAGTGATAATTATTATTTTTTTTTGTCTCCTTTTGTGGCAGCATCTATTTCTGCAATAATGCATAATATAGGTTATCTGTTCTGTAATAATACAGGGTATTTGTTCTGACCCATGTGGACTCTTACCACAGTCACAGCTGCTCCAATACCTTGTACTAACATTTGGCACTGGAATTGTTATTTACCAATCAGAAGTATTTCTTCACCATTTAACTACTGAGCATTGAAAGGGAAGAAATAACTGACAAACATGCTTGGCGTAAACCTGTGCCGTTTAGATTTAGACAGGACAGAGACTGAGTTCATTTTCATATTTTGTGCCTTTTATCAGCAGCTCATTTAGGAATGTGGTGTGAGCAGGAGGAAAACAGAGGTTCACAGGATGGGTTGATCTGCCTTGTTGAAAGATGGGTTTAAGTGGATTTATAATGCTGTAGTACAAGTTTGATGAGAAGCCAGTACTGTGCTAAAACTCAAATTCAGACAGTCAGTGGGTAAGTAAGGGGCTGGACATTTAGCTTGCATTTTGAAGTGCTGCTTGTTTGACGTTCCACTTCTAAGAGAAAATATGCTTAAACTTCACTAATTTTTATAATACCCCAGGCGTTTCAGATAGAAGCAACTTTCTCAAGAAAATAAATAGAGCTTTTTTTTTTTAATTCCTTGTATTTCTAACTTTCAGTTCAAAGGTGAACTGCTTGAGGAGATGCCTGTGCTAATCATCATAATACATCATTTTGCCTTGAAGTGGGATAGAGGGTAAGCTTCTGTCCTGCTCAGATCAGGTTTTTTTAAGGTTCAAACAAATCATTAGTTTTTGAGATCGGTGTTGGTGATGCCACAGTGTCACCACAGATAAAAGCTGTGCTTTGTGGGAGCGGGTGCACGCTGCAGGGTTCCCAGCATGGTGGAGTGGACTACGTTGGTCCTGAGGTCCAGTGCCAGCCTCTCTGCCTGCCTAAGCAT